CTACTTACAAAAATGAGGTGACCATGGGTTTACAGATATTGTTAACATGTCAAAGAGGATATGAAAGCCCACATAATAAACAGTTGCTGGTTTTCTATTTCATCCTTATCCACTGACTGGGGTCAAAGCGGGGCTAAGTTGAAAAAGAGATTTGCCATGCATGCTTCAGTTTTGCTTGAGATGTTGTTGGTTCAAACAAGCAAAACACCACAATTTCACATTTTATTTTTGGCATTCTTGGTTTGTTTTTTTAATGCTTGGATCATGGGATGGCAAAAATATCCTATATTAATACATAAATCAATATGTTATTACTTATAACATATAAGTAATATGCCCTTGACTGTGTGAAGTACAGGTCACTCATATTTATTTCTGTTCTCTTGGCTTGGGTTTCATGACTTGGAGTCATGCTTTATTTGCTGTCAGCCCCAGTAGTTAGACCAGACCAGGAAATAAACTCCAGAGGATGGCTAAAATTACTCTTATTGAGATAGGCTATAACAACAAAATCTTGCAAGTCTGGTTGTGCTGGACTTCCTCCTCCTTCTTATAGTTTAGTGAATTAGGGAGGCATCTGCCTCAGCCACTTCTGAACGTTCTCTCATTTTTCTGGACTTAAAAAATGCTTTAGCCCCCTTTGCCTAGGTTCTTGCATGTTTGTCTCAAGCTCATCTTCCTTATACTCTATATATGTCACAAGTCACTTGCAAACTCCAATATGCTAATATTCCACGTAACTGTGTGTGTGAATGCTACATCTAATAGACAGGGACAACTCAATGGGTCTTTCCATCTGATCAGTACCTTTTCTATAACCTGCTGAGGTGGTCAATCAGATGGGAATCCTTATAGTTGTCCCTCTCTGTGAGTTTGTAGTATTCAGAAATATATATGGCTACTTAGAGAAGGGCTCCAAAACAGCTTAATGTCAGACTGGATACCATGAGAACACAAGAATCCGGGAGAATCAGAACAAAGGGCTTTCTGGTCCATCATTTTTTCAGTTCTGCACAATGGCCAAGAAGATGACTCTTGGGAGGTTCTGAAGGAGGACATGAAATCCATTGCATTGTCCTCTTGCAGCTGTTATTTCTTATGTCAGATTCTAGAGATACCATATTGCATCATGATTAACAGCCATTAATGACTTTACCCATTAATCAGAAGTTCACAATATCCCTTTTGGGAAAAAAAACAAAACCTGAAGACATTTGCAAATTAAATATTTCTAGGAAATCAGATGAGGATATGATCCTGAAGACTTACTTCGCCCAAAGATGTCTGTGTCAAAGACTTAAAGGACAGCAGGTTCTCAAAAGCAACAGTTGTTACTGCAACTTTTACCCTGATAGCAGTGCGGTAGTTGACAGCCCATGTCAATGACCAGAACACAACTTTTGAAAATTCAGTGAAAAAAAGGGCTACACAGAGGCCAATTCCCTTCATCGAGTCTCTTGAGCCCCTTTCACTGTACTGAAGAATGTTGTGGATGATCACTGTCTGCCAAAAACAAAAAACCCAAAATCTAAATTATTTGGGGGAAGGAAAAGTGTATTGTTGATATATTTTTGAAGTAGTCAATATTATTCAATACAGCCTCATTTATTTGACCCCCATACTTTACAATCTGTGTGAAAAATTTATAGGCTACTCAGGCAGTAGAGATGAAAAAACCACTTGGCCAGCACAAAATAATCTTCAGACTATTGGATCATCTAGTCTAGTATTATTTACAACATAAATTCTTCAACTTCATTTTTTGTAGATCCCTTTTGAGTGTTTTTCTATAAATCAAAGCATTTGGAGAAGACATGTTTTAGTAATATTTGTGTCACTGGCATTGTTATCATCATCGAAACAGTACTTTGTTATGAAAATCACAAGCTCCAGTTGTTGTTCTAGATCACTCATTACTTCGGGATTATGATGCCAACGTCAATGTGCTTCTTAGCCTAAGAAAAGATTCATATCTTGTTCATGCCAAGAATGAAACTGGGATCTTTTGCATGTAGTATGAGTGTTTCTCCACTGAAATAAGACCTCTCTTTTTAAATTTGTTTATAAATGCAATAGCAGTAGGCAGAGAAGTTCTCCAGTGGTTTGTCTATTGATTCTCATTCAATTTGGTGAAAGAGAATTTGCTTTTGAAATTTCTTTCAGAGCAGATCTCAGTTGCAATGAATGTCTTAAAAGTGGAGTGGGTTTCTGTCTGTCTATCTCTCTCTCTGTGCTCTTAGTGACAAAGCAACCAGGGAGATAGGTCTACAGCCAGGTCTACAGTCTTTCTGGCTTCCCACATTTTCTTTCAATCCCAAAGAAAAACATCAGAAACTACCCCCATGAAGCCTTTTCAGTGGGGGTGGGTTTTATCAAAGGTTCTGCCTTGAGCAATTGATGGAAATGTTCTCCTTCCCCTGGAGAAATTTTGAGAAATCACCCTATCAAATTTTCTATCCAAAATATTTTGAAAGGTTATTTGTGCTCAGCTCTCAAAGTATTGTTCCAGGTTACTCACTGGCCCTAAAGCACTGAAAATGACATAAAAGGTATTAGCTATTAGGTCGATCAAAATTCTTGTCCTTTGAAATTTAAAGACCACTTTGCCTAAAGAAGCTTTCTCAGGTCCAACTTTGGCCACCTCAGCTTCCCAAAGGAATCGAAATCTGTAAAAAAGCAAACAACTCACATTACATATTTCTTCCATGTGCATGCCTGTTAAAGGAAACTTGGCTGCTGTCAATTAATTATTACAGAGGATAGAGAGAAAATTGAGGAGATGGAATGGGGTATCTTGCTTTCAGCAGACATTCAGTCTAGAGTTGCATAAACGTGAATCAAGGCTTTGCCAATGCCTTATCTGAAAGTTACTATCTCACTCCATTGTTTGCTTCACTTGTCTTGCGTTCTCCTTCCCATCCTTGGTGTTACTCGGAGTTTTAAGTAGCACCAAGAATTTTCACCAGCAAGAATTTTCATAGGGACAGGAATTGTGTGTCCCCGCTTTTTTTTCCAGAGAATTTTCTGCTTAAAATGACTGCTTTATATTAATTCCCCAAAATGCTAACCCTCTGCTACATGCTCTGCTTTCCCCAAGCAAAGGTGGCAAATTGTAATGGGCAGTAAAAATAACCTTGAAGAAGAGCTGCAACTGAGACAATGGTCAGGCAAAAGAAATTTGAGTCCAAGGCAGAAATGTAATTTCAGAAAGTGTCTGAGGCTTGACCCTCCCTAGTTGTCTTGAACATAAACGGGAGGAAGGGGGAAGTGCATTTAGACGTGCAAGACTCTGTAACTGTAACCTTATAATAAAATTAGTATTAGCATTCATAGCATTGGTTTCCTAGTCTGGTCTACCTCAAAGGGCTGCCACAAATACATAGGGTTGATTCCAAGTTTCAGGACGCCCAGACAGAATGAGCTCTGCTGGCGTTCATCTTCTATCAATGGGCAGTGGCTGCTGAGAAGTGCTACAGGCCCTTTTTGGCATCTGAGCTTACTGAATTGTAATTCAAAACGAGCACAGAAAATTGGTTGGATTTGGACAGGGGATCTGGTTGGATCTGGACAGGGGAGATTCACCTGTAGGTACAAGGAGGCCATGTAGGGCATTATAGGTTAAAACCAGCAACTCAAGCTGCACCTAGAACGCTATCAGCAGCCAATACAGTGACTAAACTGCTGGTGTGATGCTCTAAACTGACCTCTCTCTGTTAGTAGCCAATTGCCAACTTTGTGTCAAGTGCCACTTCCAAATAGCTTTCAAAAGTAGCCCTACGCGAAGTGTGTTGAGTAGTCTGACCACAGGGTGATCAGGGCTGGTTGTTTTTGCATAAATGTAAGATTTTTTAACAGTTGCAGGAAAATGCATATGTATTTTTCTGCTAGCATGTCCTAAGATGCAGAATTTGCACACCTGCGTATTTTAGCAAGCAGGTCCCTAATATGATCTATTTGCATATTATTTTCAGTATTATATCCATTTCTGGTGCCCTTTTCTCCACTGAATGCATATTGTTCACTTTTAAAAAAAAATTGGAGTACTGTAACACCAAATTTGGAGATGGAGACGTTTAAGGAGAACAAAGCTTCGCCTGGGTATACTGTTCCAAAAGTTCAACATTTAAATGCAAACCAATTTCTCTATCACTTTCAAACCAAGTTATAGCATTGCTGGGATGCTGACATGCCCAGGAGCACCAGGTGCTGCTATCAACCCTGTTAATGCACACCTTCCCCAAAGAATTTCTGTGAAGAAGACTTAAATCAGGATGATAGCGTTCCATGTGCAGCCCAAATTATCTAGAAATTACAGTGCTACACTTGGCCTACCGCCCTGCTTTCCTTCTCCTTTCAGGAATGGAACAGCAGGATGCCACATGCACTATTATTTTCTTACGAACAACTGCCTATTAGGTTTGTTATCCTCAAGGTCCAGTGAATGCAGATGAGTGCAACCTTCCTGTTCCCACGTTGGTTCTTGCAGAGAGATTGGGGTGGGTAGAGAGAGATTTTAAAATAATAGCTGTGTCACCACAGCTGTACCTTTTGGCATTTGGCTTGGCACTATCATGGTAAGAGAGAGGGGGCAAGGTAGCCGAACTGACATTGTGCCTGTATCCCTGGAGCATTATATAGGATAACCAAGAAAACGTTGCAAATGAGAAAAGTCCAGCATTGTCCAGTGGATTCTCTGAAGATCTGCAAATGGGAGAGAAAGAGGGAATAAACAATTGAGGGAGGGGGAAGATCTTACAGGAATCAAAAGCTGCTTTCCACATTGGACTGTTGCCCATTCAATCCCCCTAATCATCTCTTTGATTGACAGTTGTTCATCAGCAAGACCTTTTACTCATCCCTGGCAACCACTGCCTTTTAGCAAGAGTTCTCTAATCTTTTCACTAGATATTGAATAGCTGTCTCAAAGAAGTCAGCCGACTTGGTTGTCTTTTCAGCAGCAGGCAAAGTACGTTTTTATTCTCTCCAGCCTTTATTTCTCACAGTTCTCCTGTGTTTGCCAATCATTTAATTTCCATGATAAATGTAAATCGGGCTGTGTGTGTGTGTGTGAAGGAATGTAAAGCTGGCGTTGGGAATGGGGAAGGCATGAGCAAACAAGGAGGAATTTTCTGAAAAGATTACTTAGTCCCAAGAAAGAGGAAAGCATCAGAAAGAAACTCAAAATAGCCCCACTTTGATTTTGTTTAATATAAAATGGGTCAGATTCTGTATTCTCTCTTACAACAGTAATTATTCCTGAAATCCTGGCCATGCCTGTTTCTTGATTACCTTGAAGGCTAACAACAATCTTGAAAGTCTATCAGTTTCTCTCTGCCCCATCTCATACCAAATAAAATCAAAGTGGAGATATTTTGAGTTTCTTTCTCATGCTTTTTCCTTTCCCAGGACTGAGTTGTTGTTTTTTTAAAGTCCCCTCCTTAATGGTTCAGCCATGCTTTCCCCATTCTGAAGACCAGCTGTATATTCTTTCACAGGGTGGCACAACCCAGGAGCCCAGACCAACGTGCTAGTCTGTTTCCCCCAAAAAGTTTGAGGAGA